AAATTTAATTTGCATGAAACTTAAACTAAATGCAAATAATTTTTTAGAAATGCCACTTTCCAAAAATGTCATCATTTTAAAATGTTTTTTAAAATGCCACTAATCCTCTATATATTAATTGAATAGACATTTGATGAAAAAATCATATGTATTATTCAATGAGAGTTTAAAGGAATATGTCATTTAAGTTAACTAATAAAAATATTTTAATTAAAACTATATGCTATGTTGGAAATCTCTATATGTTTTTATTAATTTTATAACATAAATCCATTAATATATATTTTACAGAGTTAAGTATAACTAAATGTAATATTTAGACTTAATATATCATCTATTTTTTGAAAAAAATTGATATATTAAAAAGCTTCTTATTATTATATTTGTAACAATATTATTTATTTGTAAATGATAACTACACTTACAATATTTTTACATTTTATTATTAGAAAAACATATATTTTTTGTTTGTTACGTCCGACAAAATTATATAAATCTAAAATTTATTTGATTTATCGCATACTCTACTATTTACACAGATAATAAAACTCAATGTGACACTTCAAATAAATTGAAATAAATAACATTTGCATTAGTTTTAATATTTTATGCAAAATTGATCAAAACATATGATATTGAAATATGCTTAGTAAAAATTTAATTTTTTTACATTTATGCACAATATATATCATTTTGTATGTTTATGAATATTAGAATACACATCTAAATATTAAGATCAATTAGAATATATATTTTAATATTTAATTCCAACGTGGGTCAAGTAATTATGGTATTAGGGGAAAGGTTTGTAGATAATTATGGTATTCGTTAGTTTATACGGTGTTGGATTATAAATTATGGATCCATTAACTAATATATATCCCAATTTCTCAAAATTTATCGCAATGGTCCAAATGGTTTCGCTCTCCACCTCCACCAGCCACGCGCATTTACTCCCGTCGGCGTACAACCGCCGGCCGGCGGAAAGAATTGTTACAGTGCGATGTGTCTCCATTTCCCCGCGAGAGCCTAATCATACGATTCGTTATGATAATAGCAATAAGGAGACGAATCAGAGCAAATGGCTGATGAGTACGGAAGACGTGACGGAGGATAAGGCGAAGGAGGATAAGAACACGAAGATCGCGTCTAGGAAAGCTATATCCACAATCCTGCGAAGAGAGGCTACAAAGGCCATAATCGAGAAGAAGAAAGGACCCAACAACTCGAAGAAGCTGCTTCCGAGGACTGTGCTTGAGGCTCTTCACGAGAGGATCACAGCTCTCCGTTGGGAATCCGCTCTTCAGGTATCAGTTATGCTTGCTTCAGGTTGTACTTTTGATCTTGAGGAACTCAATTCCAATTCAGAGAGCTCATATTGAACTTATATTTTTGTGTCTTTAAATTCCTGTTAAGGATGCCAAGTAAAGAAAGTTGTCTGTCTTATATGTGTGAGTGAAGAGTTGAGTTTTTCCCTGCAATTACAAGGTACTGTTGGTGTATCTGCAGGTGTTCGAACTATTGCGTGAACAGCTATGGTACAAAGCAAACGTTGGCATTTTTGTAAAGCTCATTGTCATGCTTGGAAAATGCAAACAGCCGGAAAAGGCTCATCAGCTCTTTCAGGAAATGATCAGTGAAGGCTGTGTGGTAAACCATGAAGTCTACACCGCACTTCTATCTGCTTATAGCAGGAGCGGCTGCTTTGATGCTGCGTTTACTCTTCTGGAACGAATGAAAACTAGTCATAACTGTCAGCCGGATGTGCACACCTATTCCATCCTCATTAAGTCCTTTCTTCAGGTTTTTGCCTTTGATAAGGTTAAGGCTCTGATTTCTGATATGAGGAGACAGGGTATTAGGCCCAATACAATCACCTATAATACCCTCATCGACGCATATGGGAAAGCCAAAATGTACTTAGCACACCCTCTCATGTCCTTTTGTTTTTTCGTTTTGTTATATCTATTTACACTCACTCCATCCCATGTGATGTTTCATGGTTGCAAACCTTTTGACTTATGCCAAAATGGAGTATTTGAAAAAACANTGTTTTCCTTTAGTTCCATTTAACCGAGAACTTTACACATGTTGGGATGGAGTGAATACTTGAATTTGACAATTACATGTTTTCACTTATTATGTTTTAGTTCAAAGCATCCATGAACTGAGATTTATCTTTTGTTTTGGAAGGTTTGTGGAGATGGAAGCAACACTAATCCAAATGCTTGGAGAGGATGACTGCAAGCCTGATTCTTGGACCATGAACTCAACTCTTAGAGCATTTGGGGGAAATGGACAGATAGAAATGATGGAGAATTGTTATGAGAAGTTTCAGAGCTCTGGGATTGAACCCAACATCAGAACCTTCAATATCCTCCTTGATTCATATGGGAAAACAGGTAACTACAAGAAGATGAGTGCTGTGATGGAATTCATGCAGAAGTATCACTATTCATGGACCATAGTCACCTATAATGTGGTCATTGATGCATTCGGGAGGGCAGGAGACTTAAAACAAATGGAATACTTATTTAGGCTAATGCAATCAGAGAGAATAAAACCTAGCTGTGTTACACTATGTTCTCTTGTTCGTGCCTATGGAAGAGCTGGTAAAGCGGATAAAATTGGAGGAGTCTTGCGTTTTATCGAGAACTCAGACATAAGGTTAGACATTGTGTTCTTTAACTGTCTGGTAGATGCCTATGGGAGGATGGAAAAGTTTGCAGAGATGAAAGGTGTTCTCGAACTAATAGAGAAGAAGGGATTTAAACCTGATAAGATTACATACAGGACAATGGTTAAGGCTTACAGAATTAGTGGCATGACTAGCCATGTAAAGGAAGTTCATGGTTTGGTTGAGTCGGTTGGTGAAGCCCAAGTTGTGCTGAAGAAGCCGGATTTTTAGCTATGGAATAGAGCTCACTTTTCTGGTATATATATAATATCCAATTGCCTGTTCTATTTAAAAAAAGGTAGTTAGTATGAGAGTATATACATTTTCAGTTAGCTTACAGAACTTTGTAAGAAAATTTTGTTTGATACAAATATAGTTCTTTACTCTTGTTTGTGTTGTTATCAGTCTGTATGTGCTGAAGCAGCTAGATATGAGAGTTGAAGGCTGTACGCTTCTTTCAATTGAGTTAAAACTTCTGCAATAGACGGTCTGCCAGATGCATCTCTCTCCACACATCTTATAGCAATCGAAGCAGCCTTTCTCATGCTCTCTGGATCAAATGTATCCTTCAAGATATCATCCACAATCTCAAATGCTCCTGCTTGTAAGTTTGGCCTAGCCTGCATTGAAGTATCTGATGTTATATGACACTGTGTACTTGGAAACTGGGAGATGAGAAAGCAAAGACTATCATGTTTCTCTCACCCATAAGACCAAGTTAAAAGAATCTGGTGATCCTAAGTGGCTTAAGGGTTCTCTTCCACAGATGAGCTCCAACAGAACCACACCAAAGCTATAGACATCACTTTTCTCTGTCAGCTGTAGGGTGGAGTAATATCTGGAATGACGAAGTGTGATTAATGATTAGCTAATCAAGTTGTTGACCCATCACTAACACTGATAGATATTACTGAAGAGTTTACTCAGGATCAAGGTAGCCTGCGGTGCCTTTAACAACGGTCGTAACATGAGATGCATCAGCTTTTGTAAATTGTTTTGACAGGCCAAAGTCAGCAACTTTCGCCTTCATATCCTTGTCCAGTAGTATGTTACTGCACTTAACGTCCCGATGTATAATTCTCGGCTCACTTCCGTTGTGCAGGTAATCCAATCCTTCAGGAATAGAACAAAAATGTTACCATTTGCTAGGATCAAATGTGTTTTAGCATAATGATACCAATGACAGATGGTGAAGATGTACCTTTTGCAGCATCAACCGCAATTTTCAGTCTTGAAATCCAGTTCAATGAAAGCCTTTTGCTACTTGGACCTGCAGGAAAAAGGTAGTACAAAAAGCTTTGCGAGGAAGTTGACTTTGAAAAAAGGATGACGAGCAAGTGCCAGATACTTGGGGATTTGCATACCGTAAAGGTGATCTGCTAATGATCCACCAGGCAGATACTCATAAACCAGTATTTGCCGTTTTGGTTCATAGGAGAAGCCCTCGAAAGAAACTAAATTTTGGTGGCGGATCTGAGACAAAAGGTGCACCTAAATACGTAGACAATACAAAGGGAGACTTTTAGTTCTCAGCACTTGGATTACTAAAGATGAATGCATCATTGACCGTGGATTTCTCGAATGCATGACATTCAAATATTGACAGTAATTTTGGGAGAAAGGTGTGGGCACTTAACCTCATTGATGAAAGAATCAGCTCCAAGTTGAGTTCTATCAAATCGCACTTTAACTGCAACTTGTTTTCCATCCGGTAGTTTTCCATGGTATACAGATCCAAAACTTCCACGGCCAATCACCTCCTTAAAATTCTTTGTGGCTGACTTGATCTCTTTGTGAGAAAAGATTCTTGAAGAGTTCCAGTTCTGCATCTTCAGTTGTGCTCCTGATCCAGATTTTGATATACTATAAGAATCATAAAGCCACAACTTTTGAGGCAAAGAGAAAGCATTTGTTCCCATACTGATTATATCTCTCTCTTTGCTTCTCTGTCTCCTCGTGCAGATCGACATGAAAAAAAAGATGAGGATAGTGGCAAACAAGGCTCCACTAGAAACTCCAAGTAAGATCGCAATACGGTTCTGCTTCTTGTGTTTCTTATTCATAGGGATAGTGACTTTTGGTGTGTCAATTGTTGAAGACACATTGTTGCACGACAGCAAAGAGAACGAAAGGCATGGATTTCCCATTGTCCTGATAACAGCAATTCAGTAACACATATGAGCAGAGCATTGTAGCAATTGCCGGGACAGAAATTGTATACCTTACTTCCAGACCCGTTCTGTTAAGAGACTGTGGCAAGGGGCCTACTAAGTTATTGTTTTCCAGATTCCTGAGAAGATGAAACAGAAAGTTCTTTCTTGGTGTGATATTGAGAGTGTATATGGTATGCACAAGCTACTTCGTGATCAGAATGTTTACTTACAGGAGACGTAGTTTCTGCAGCTTTCCTAAGGTTTCAGGAACTGATCCTTGTAAGCTGTTGTTTTGCAGGTCCCTTTGAGAGTTTGAGGAATGGAGACTTACTTTAGAATTTCCAAAAGGAACAAACGCATATCCAGAGAATCTGAGTATGACTTACAGAACTTCAAGGTTAGCCAGATCTTCCAGTTCGGAGCCGAAAGATCTTAACTGATTGAAGCTCAAATTCCTGTGTATACCGTCAAAAGCTTTTTAATATACTACAGGAAACCTACATTGATATTTTGTTAATGCTCTAGGGATGAGTATTACAGTTTCTGGAGATGCTGAAGGCTGCCTACATTCTGTATTGCTCCAGTAAGTGATGTATTATGCAAGTCGCTGCAGGAGGAACACTAGAGATAACACACATGTATAATTAAGACGGTGGAAATGTTATAGAATTGCTGACTTACAGTGTCTTGAGATCGAGCAAGTCCCCAAATGTTGGACTAATGGACCTCAGGTTGATTTGTGAAAGAAACCTGGACAGCCAGAAGAAGAAAAACGCAGCTGAGATCAAGAAATGTTGAAAGCAATGAGTATATTATAAGGACTGTTTTTACAGTGATGTAACGTGGCTTCCTTCACATTCTATGTGGTTCCAAGGAAGCGGAGTGCATGGGTCGTCTTGCCATGCAAGGTCTTGCCCGGTAAATTGCTCTATGACTTTAAGTGCCAAAACTGCAAAGATAACTTTTAAAAGTCAACTTTGGCTGGTGGAATTTTCTCTATCCAGGCAAAAATCAAACAGAGAGTACCTGTGGTAGAGGAAGCTTCGGGAGGGATTTGGAGGATTTCATACACCTCAAGAGCGTTCACCTGAGGACTGAACTTGATTCTTCCGAGGGTGATGTTTAACATACTGATTCTTTTTTGGGTAAAGTACAAAGTACCGACTTCTGAACTGTTCACGGTGTAATCAGATTGTTTGACTTCGTCATTAATCGTCACACTAAAAGAAGGGGAGAGTGAGAGTATCCCAGCAAAGTACAGGATGATGTAGTAGTCCCCTCGTGTATCTAGAGAAAAAATATATGAGAGACTGTCTTTGCGAGCAAGAATTCTTGCAGTCTGAAGAACAGAGGCTGGTGGATTCTCTGTAATGTTGGAGGAACTCAATCTTGTTAGTCTATTGAAGCTTGAAGAGGCATGAAATGGTGCAAAACTTTGATCCGGATCCCATATTCGATCAAATGGATCTAAAGGGTACCTGTCATTTAACAGAATTCACCAAGAAAATTCAGCCAAAACACAATGAAGAAAAAATCAGATTTGGTGATCAAGTTCAGAGCCTGAGAATTCTCACCGGATAGTCCCATTTGTGTATCCGCTATTGATTCGGTAACTTCTCCTGAGAATATTATTGGGTGACCCCTCGAGGCTGTTTCTGTAAGCGCCTAAAGGAAGCGGCCGTATTTCTAGAGAAGAGATAACCGGAATGCCTCTCCCTTTAACCGCAAGCAAACAAAGCGAAAGAGAATCTTTGTTGACCGGCCAAACCAACTCTTCAATCCAAGGATCATTGGTTCTAAGATCAACAGTACTAGTGATTCTCCTTCCCAGAGAGACATGAAATGCTGGAGGACTATTCTGGCTATCATAATTTCTATAAACGAATGTGGTCCGAATCAGAACCGAGGACAAGTCATTCCTCACAGGTACCTTATAACATTGGCGACCTCGAGAATCCGGGAATAATCTAATGGGCACACTGGAAGTGGAAGTCCCCTCAATGTAAGTTACCGTGCTTGTGTTACCTGTGTTGATATAATCTTCGTCTGAAACCCATGAGATATTATTAGTAGCTGTGTAACCTGAGCCGCCACATGACAAGCTCAAGAAACCTGTTCCATTACATAGAGTCAATCAAATCGTTATACGGAAAAGAAGAAAAATATTGGAAATGATGTACATACCATCTGGATTGGAGAAACCAAACACCCAGTAACCACTGAACAAAACCAATTCGACCCAGAAGGACATCATCTAATTTACCAACTGAAACCTGAAGAACATATATTTGTTCTATTGTGTTTCCTGGTTGGAGTATGGATCCAATCTTTATATATATGAATGTGTGAAGATGGTAATCATGATTTCATAGGTACTTTACTCAGTGGTCATAATGCACTATCAGTCTGTGTCACTGTCGACTTAATGATCTAATTTACAATCCATTTACTGTGATTGTTTACTTATTTAACCTTCCTTGCATATCACATAACATAGAAACAAGCAGAGATACAGTGTAAAATATGTATGTGTAAAAATTTAATGGGAAGAAAAAATAGGTTGCCCAATTGCTCATTTCTTAAGAATGATTATGAGAATGATGCTTGAGAGAGAATCTTCAAATGTAATGATATTTATGGTTTGCTTGGCTTCAACACTAATCCTCACAATGCATCCTCCTTAAGCTTTCTCATAAAGGGAAAAAAACTTTTTAGACAAATAGTAGTTTCCATACTAAATTCTCCGAAAAAATGAAAGGGTTAATGCCTCAGAAAACATTAATTCGAATCCTTCTATGACATAATCCGAGTAAAAGAATCTGACATAATCCGTTGTCTTGTTTTTTTATTCCGAAGACTAGTTGAAAATTTGTTTTTTATTTGTAGAAGATTTACTTATTAATACAGAAAAGTTCCTTTAATTAAACCAGAATTTTCGTAGTTTTTGCTTTCACATTGCTAAAGCTTGTCATTCTATGCGTTTATTTGTAGTAGAATTACTTATAGAAGCACTTTGATTAGCGCTCCAAATTTTAGGAGGCATAAGC